AGTAATGTCCCAACTAAAAGCATTTCGAACAATGAATACCTCTGGTTGGGAGATGAGAATAAAAGAGGGCGAGGATGAGTTGTGTTCGTGTCACCCTGCCGAGGAAGGTCTAAGTGGTGTCTAAAAATGTTCTTTATTCAGTGTTACAATGAGTACACAATGCGAGCAGCGAGCATCATGGCATAATGCCTTCGCCGGTACAATCTGGAGTCTCGGGCCACTGAGCATTTAGGTTAGCGAATCATCATGATTTGGAAAAACTCCCGGGAGGCTACGTGGGAACGAAACATGCTTCGAATTCTATTCGATGCCCTGGGTTTTATTCCCGCGGGAGAGAAAACTCCGAAGCCACGAGACCGGCTTTATTCCTGACTAATCTTGATGGACCCACTTCTCTTATTTTTTGTCCTTATCTCTTTGTCTCTCTTTTCGTGATGAAAGGGAAGAAAAGAGATGCCCGAAATACCCCTTCCCTTCTCTTCTTGGGAAATTTTTACACTTTTATTTTGATCTACGGATTATCGGCACTGGACATCAATATCGACAGTGACAAATCACGGTTTTATGATAGGCACGTCGCTATTACGTATACGTATAAGTTGAGATCGATGCTCTGTACTGCTAATGAGGATATAGTTGCCTCGCGTGAGTATTACTTGAAAATTTCGAATACTTCATGACAATAGTCAGTCGTTATTGTCAGCTGCATGAAAGGCCTTATTAGCAATGTTCCTTTGGCGTAACTTTCCGATTTTTATGTAACTCAGGTATTCATGTAACGTTTATGGAGATGTTAAAATACGTTAAGTGTATTTTTTTTGTAACTCCTCGAATAGAATTTTGAACGGTGAAATCATCCTTCAGTGTTTCTAGGTATTTCCGTAGTTGGCTGTAATTCTTTGGTCATACAAAGTCTGGACAATCCTTTGTTTAACACAGTTTCCATGTTGCTTATGTATATCGTACGTCGACCAGGCGTCGAAAAAGATACTGGCATCTGCTATGCCATCTTGAAATTCTTCTTTTCTTCTTCTTCTTCTTCCTATTTGTCAACGCTACTTTGTACAGATTAACAATACTTATTTGAAATCAGCCGCGTTCTTATCGTATTGTTTCGTGAATGTATGAGTCGCCTATGATAATGCGTCTCAGTTTTTGGTATACTTAATATGATTTTCTGTAGAAATTACAATTTTTGCCGTCCATGAAGATGATTAGTCACACTATTCGCATGATAAAAAGGCACGAAAAATATTGTTAGCATCGCTTTGTTACGGAGACAGTTGGACACGTGGTTAACGTTACGGATAGAATACTCTACATTCTCAATCTATTCACAAACATTTGACATTTTTTGAAGAATAATAAGAGTTCTGCATATTTTCGGAATTCTTCGTAAATCAACTGTAATTCGTTAAATCCAGTTATGTTAAAAAGATTTTTATTCTGATATTAAACACCTTGAGTATCCTTCCGTCTGATGCAGGAGACGTTCCAGAATCCACTGCCAGTACCGTAAGCCTGGCTGTGAACTTTTTCCTCATCGATACAAATAAACAAAGACACGACGATTCTGGGCCAGTATTCCCAATGAATTTCGGAAACGAGACAAGGCTGATTTCTAGTGACGTAACTGCTGTTAACACCGCGGACGTCTAAAGTCTCCTTAAATTATTTGAAAATAATAATAATAATAATGGAAATATTCTCCAGCACCTCGCGCCACACGTAAAAGATCTTTGTATATGCTTGTACTGCGTCATGATTTACGACTAGCAAGAGACTATTGATTTCGTCAAACCTATTACCCAAGAGGCGTTACGAAGGAAGTAGGAAGAAATGATAGATGAAGTTATTTAGATTATTGGTAGCATTTGAGCTTACCTCTACGTATACAGAGAAGCATAACAACATAGCATTCACTTAAACTAATCGACCACCTTCGACGGACCCAACTGCATAACGTTTAAACGAAATTCTAATTTTAGAGCAGTGTCGACCAGCGAGGAATGTCGCGCAGAAGAGAAAACGAGATACTCGGCAAGTGTCGGATGATGAGACGAGCGTACAGGATACCCAATACTCTATCCGATAATTACCTAGAACGGAGCCCAGATCCAAAATATATTTTGAAATACATTTGGAAAGCCCATTAAAAAAAAAAAGTCCAGACAGGAGTGAACCGTTTACTTGACTGATCGGATGGATCGGCTGCTCAAAGGTTAAACGGTAGTCACTAGACGGGTGGTTCCTGGCTGCGGATTGAATGGGATTCCCTGATGAATGAAGTATGAGGAGAGAAGTAGCGGAGGGATGACAGTGCTGCTTTAAATATCGACGCGTGGCTCGACTGTCCGTAGGAATGACAACGGTGACTCGGCTAAAATCTGTGCGTCGCTGGGATACACCGACGAATCCATGGACCAGACTGTCAAAGATAGTCACGGTTTGGTTCAGATCGTGTGTCAGTTGAATATAAAAACTTGAATATAAAAACTTCGCTGACCTACGATACTCCGCGTCCTTTCAAACGTGCAGTGACGATGAGTCACTCGAACTTTTGCGACGACCCATCGTCGCAAGGCAAAAGCACCGCGAGAACGGATAAGGACCAGGTCAGATAGAGAGAGATAGAGAGAGAGAGAGAGAAAGGAGGAGGGAATGGGTGAGGGAGAGCAAGAGAGACGGTAAAACGAGAGAAAATATCTTGTGAACGACCTTCGTACCTTCAAGTCCTCCGCGTAAGCGAAGCGAACGCGAAGCTAAGCTGGTTCATCGGTGGCGCCGGAAGCGGGAGCAACCGGGCGTGTCGGCGCTGACCAGCGCAACGCTACTTCTTTCGCCACCGCTCCATTGCACTCCACCTGCAGCAGCGCATACCTGCGGATTGCACTACTCCGTTCATCTCTGCCTCCGACATCTCGCCCACGTACTGAACGTGCGTACGATTCGAATGGATCCGAATGCCAAAAAGGCGACGGTCTTATTTAACTCCAAAGACTTTGCTCGTTGTAAAAATTACTTTGCTCGGTTGTTTTCACTCTCGTGACGTAACGTTAAAGACTTATATGGAAGTAACGGTTTCCTAAGTAATAAATATATTCGAATGTGTTGACGGCATTCTTTGAATTATAACGTTTCGTTATCTCGTGCAGAAAAGAGGTTGTATTACCTTTTTAGTCAAATAAATTGATTAATTTCAGTGCGATACGGAGCAGGTTCAATGATTGATGGTAACAACGATGTACTTTATCTGTCCGAATGATACTTCGCGTATGAGCCACGGTAAACAAATGGCCGTGATTATGTGTACGATATATGGACAAGCAAAGATTGCGCGTTACGCCACGCGGTAATTTATATATAGAAATTATGTTTATCATCGATGATGCATTTTCCCTAACATTCGTATAATTTACATGCATCTCCTAGCGCGTAGCAATTGCGAAATCCGCGTAGAGGCAAATATTCTCGTTCTATACTTTTAGGTTATATACCGTATATTGTGAATTTTTTCTCTTCAAAGTACGGAACGAACTCTCGTGGCAAACAAGCCCAAAGAAAGACCAGAGTCCAAGCGGTGGTTGGGATCGTGCAAGTCAAGTTGGAATTTTCCGAAGTTAGAATGGAAGATCCAAACAGATCGTAGAAAGGGGTGGAGGAAGATGGAAACTGATACTTACCCTCTAAGAAGGTGGATACGGTAGAGTGAGAAAGTAGCTGGCTGAGGGAGGGGTGGCGGGAGGGCGGGAGGTGAGTCTGTGGCGAGGGTGGGTTCTGAGCGTTGTTGGGAGTATAAGGGAGTGTAAGGGGGTACGATCGAAGTACGTCGGACAGTAAGGAGCCGCCGACACGGCGTGCCACACCCCAATGCAGCAACGACATTGATTATTGTTGCGCGAGTACCTCGGTCTGAGAAGACTTTGAACCGACAGGTGTCATCACTTTCATACCGACCCTGAATCAATCCAAGGAGGAATTATAAATTGGACACGTACGTAACATGCGCATCTATCAATCGTGCCCTATTATTATTTGCCTTGTAAATAAGACGTCAATATTGTTAGCGTGGAGCATAAAGAGCCACCTTACGACTTGACAACCGGTGTTTGCTTTTCAACACGTCATCGTGTGTTCTCAGCAGATAATGTGGGCGTAATTTTCATAAACGTCGAATTAGAAAACTGACAAGGTAATACATAATAATGCTGCCTACCGTATCGAACGTCGATGTATGGATGTGTGTTTTTGATGGTTTAGTTGATCCTCTTATCACTTTGAAAAATCGTTGCGTAGGCTTACCAACACTTTACGTCGCTGCAAGTGTCATTTACGAAACTTGATAAAACCAAGATACTTTGAAACATGCCTTCCGTCGCCATGTTCAAGTTCCATGAAGGGTTGTTGTTTGCCGAATACCACGTCCTATCAGTCATTCGCTATGCGGAGTCTCTGTATCCTAGATTCTGTAAACAGATGCAGTCGTATATCCCATTTGAAATATGGCTCGGTCATTCGTCTTGCAACATGTACAAAAATACACAGAAGTAAATATCAAGACGTTCACTGCTTGAAAGAATCCACAGCCTTAGTCTCTTGTTTGAAGGGACGTTCATTCCGCACGGACACTTTTGAAAATTTATGTCTTTCCTGTGTTTCGTAGCGTTCCTTCAAGTCGGGTGGACTATTGTTTCTAGGAAAAAGAAACCTGACTATCGCCGATCGATCGATTAACGTGTATTGTCCACGGTATAAATGTTACGATGAATTTACTCAAAAAAAAAAAAAAAAAAAAAAATCGAATGTTGGTGAAGGAAAATGAACATTAAAAAGAAAGTCTAAAGATCGGCATTCAGAATCAGAATGAGAAGTCGGAATTAGGTTAAATGGCTAAGCGGCGACGGGAAAGACCCTTCCCTTCGAAATACCAATAATTTAAATCACGGTGAGCTCCCAGACTGTCGTGTCGTATCGTGAGCGTCGAATAAGAGTCTCGTATTATGCCGCACGGCGACAAATCTCCCGATGGTCCCCAAAGGTACGACGGAACGGCGAATACCAAGAATTCCTGGAGCCGCCTGAAACGTAGCTGAGACAAATGGCGTTTATGAGCAACGCGATACTATCGGGCGCTATATGTACACAGGCGGTACATGCACGTGCGTACAGGGGATAGGATGCGCGCAAGAAGCTGGCATTATATGGAGTGAAAGTGGGCAGAAGGGAGGAAGGGAGAAAGGGAGGACACGTGAGTGAAGAGGATAGGGTGGAGGAGGAGGCAGAAGAGACTGGACGGTGGCGGCCCGAGGGGCGGCCGGCAAGGGTACTAGGGGTGGGTAGTGGGTAGTCCAAGTGAGCCCCTGAAAATTACAAGCTATACGTTGTTCCGAACCGACCATCTAAGATAATACCTGTTCCCCCTGCAGCTATAATGAATATGTAAGACAGATTGTAGGCTAAGAGGAAGCCTCCGCTGCTACTGCTGCGCGATACGGTTGTCCATGCGCAGATTATATTGCCTTCGATGTATATAGTAAGCCGATAATTTATTATTTATGCCGATTAAAAGAGTAAGGATGCTCATGGGGACGACGCGGTTCTTCGTGCTTCTACGAATGCGAATTACGCATATCGGTTGAGAGCCTTGGTAAAAGATTAATATTTTATTGAGGAAATCGACTGTTTTCCACATAAAAAGAACTCGTGTGATTCTTTTTTAAATGTGATCCTTGACTTCGAATATTGCCGCACGACAGTTGTAAAATAAATGTAATTGCCGTGGTCGAGGTTTTAATGATCTGACGTGTCCTGTTGGATCGCTGAATATCAATAATGATCAGTGACCGGCAGGGAACATAAAGTAATATCATACGACGTGAGAAGTGTCGAATGAAATTCCAAATAAGGAAGATTCTTTTTCAAAGACTTTCTCTGGATCCGTGGTAGTTGTCGTCTTAGCGTTATGTTGGACGCTGACAGGTTGACTGGAGGTCGCGCTACGATTTCACGTCTTTTAATTACATTTTTGTCCTCATTAGCATCATCGGGCAATCATTAGCGAGAATATCTACGTGAATCGAGGCAGAACGATCAGCCGGTAAACTTGGCTTTCGGCGAGTGGATAGAAAGAAGAAGAAGAAGAATAAGAAAAAGAGGAAGAGAGAAAACAAGCGGGCGAGCCGAGGGGTCCGGGGGCAGCAGGGAACAACAGGTGACAAAGTCGGGTGTTTAGGCATCTTTCGAGACTAAAATTGGGACCTTGCGAGCGAGTGAGAGAGAACGAGAGAGGCTGCCGACTCAGGAGAAGAGGGAGCAAGAGAGTGCGAGAAAGAGAGGATGGGGAGGAGGAGGGTAGGACTGGAAGAATGAAGAGGCGAGCTGGTTGGAGGAAGGAATGCCGTCGGACGAGCGCCGGAGGGCAGCCGCGCGCGGTTCGTTCGCTTCTAGAGGCCCCGGCTCTCGTAGAGTCTTGCGCGCGGGGCCTCTTCGGGGCTTGTACGGGCCCCGATCTCCGTAGTCCCCCGTACGCGTGTGCATTTGTGCCCGTAGATACCCCCCCGGGCCTCACTTGTCACACACGCAGTCGCCTCTCGGCCCTCTCGCCCTGTGGCTGTCTGCCTGGTCCACGAGTGCCCCATCCAGCCCCATCCAGCCCCATCCAGCCCCATCCAGCCTCATACCCGTTCCAATGCTCATGGCTTCGTCTCCGTCACGGCCACCGTGGCCACCGTAGCCACAGCAAGATCCCATCCCCGTTGCACCTCTTGCCACAACAAGGCCCCGATACCCGTGGGCCGCGAGCCATGGGTCCTAGGCCGCAACCCGACACAGGTGATGCACGGGCCCCTCTTACATCGTCAATCCACTCTGCAGCCCTTTCCCACCAGTTCAAACCTACTCTCGCAGCAGCATCTTCTCCGTAGGTGCACCTCTTGTTCATGTATTGTCCGTTTCCATCACGCGTGTGCATTTGGAAACAGTACACATACTGGTACCTATCTCAAGCATACGTACAAAGCTAGGAGCATACTAGGCACGTATTCGTGAGCTAGAAAACATTAATCTACCGGTACCCTAATTTGGAGTGAAGTTCATCCGTCGAAGATGCGTGACCTTGCGGTGTCGATTTCGTACGGTAGCCACACGCGTCATAGGTATATCAGCCGAAAATAGTTTAATGAAAGGTGTAGAACTGTTACTTCCAAGAAGACTTTTTGCTGCGTCACGTAACGGTCATGGAAAGAGTCACGCAACGTCAAGGTCGAACTTGCACATGCACGGACGGGTTCATTACTTATGTTCTAAATAAATACAGGAGATATGCGTATGGAGTCATGGATGTGTCCTAGACACGAAGAATGCTCATAACCTATACGGCCTTGTGACTCCTATTGCTTTTTAAGATCCTATCGCATCGATACTTGTTTTACGTCCTTATCACTATACGCTACGACTCGAAATTAGATTTAGGAACATCCAGTTCTCTGGAGCCATTAGCGGCGTCGACGTGTGCCACATCGATCTCTGCCCGGTTACGTCGGCGAGCTATAAACTCTCGATACAGCCACCGACACCGGCAACGCGACAAGGATATTTGTGCCTCGACACGTGACCATAATTCTGCCATATGGCAAAGTTCAATAGATTCCAGTCACCAGTCTGGATAAGAGCATTTTTACAAGGAGAGAAATGTCTCCGGGTCTTCTCAGACTAGACTTCTGTGTCCTTGCGATAAATCGCAGGAGACCTGGAACATGAGCCGACTCTGTCTTCCGAAGACTGCCAGCGTGCCACCTTGAAAATGGCGAACATTAGACCACTGCGCCGATGGCTCGCAGTGAAAACGAAACTTAACGTATGAATGCAGTCTTTTTGAACTCGAGACGTGGAACATAGGAAACACAGTCAGGGCGTTGCGTCTCGTTGGGCATCGCGTCGAAATACGACAAAACTCCCATCGACACGTTTCCTCGTGCCATGCTGGTAGGTTTGTACCTACGCGCGCACTAATTTACAAGCAGCCTTTTTTAGGGCTCGTATTCCACATTCTATCGGCTGTATAGTTCGTGCCTTGAACCTCGTGCACGATCACGGCGCAAACTTTCGTCTTGGCCTCGGGGTATCAAAAGAATATATGCCGTGAGGTACAACCGGTTGACGATTGTCCTTACGCGTGCTCGTTTCTTCGGCCGAATCGAATTTACTCCAGCTATTATTATCGGGCGACTCCAAACTCGAATTGACCGATGATCGATTATGGGATAACCGAGCGAGAAAACGGTCGGCGACTAAATTGTAATACGACCAAGGACTAAATTGTTTCTTTTAAAGCATCGACGATCGAGATAGGCTATGAGCTATAACGTTTCACTTTGAAAGTCGAAAGCGCGGAGAAACGAGCGGGTCTCCGTCTCATAGGGAACCGCGTCGTATAGCGCCGGTACGTGTCGAGGGAATTGTGTAGGATTACAAAGAGCTCTAAGTCGTAACTTTGAGGCGACGATGGTCCAGCGTATATGGAAAACAAACGAAACGAAGACACGCTGGTGACGCTACAGTAGAAACTCTCACTCGAATTCAGAGAGTTGTCGCTACGTTGAGTATCCGTAACGCAGTCCGACGTTGGTGGGTATAACATTACGAAGACGATTGTGTAAATGTCCTCGTTTGTAATACAGTACGTTATTGTGAAATAACTGAAACCTCGTGTCTACTGTTTACCTCCTTGTTTCTCCTATCTTCAGGTTTGCCTTAATCCTGCTCAGAGTTATTTATTTAATTATAGTCTATTATCTCCGTAATAGAATAATAGATCAAACTTGTTTTTCGACTTGGTGTACTCCAGTTCTAATTGGTATTTATCATAAGTATATTCAAAGCAATCGATCTGTATGCCATTAAGTTGACATTGTATATTTCAAAGGCTACAGGCAAAGATAATAAACTATCGCATTCTAGAAGAAACAAGATATATTTATTAAAGAGCCATATCGCACGTAACAGGGGTCTATTGACTACTCGTCATCGATGTGCATTGCGTGTTTCGAACACTCTCGACTATTCAGGCATCTTGGATCCCACAGGATAACCTGACAGGTGGACGACCTTGGACCACCGTCCTGCTACTCTCGACCGCATCTCATTGACATCGTTAGAAACGACAATTATTTTGGAGTAACATGACCCGCTAAGGGTTTTCTCTCTTTGTGCCTAAGTAACGCCGCACCATGTTATTGATGATTCGAATATTTCAATTAATCGATCCTTCCTTCAAACAAGAACTTTCATTCTATTGGCTCTGTTAGCAACGTGTCCTCGTATAATTCCTCTACACAGAATTCCTACGCACTTTTTATTTTATCAATGTCTGGTTAAGTAGATATGTCTCAGCCCCCTCGAGCGTCACCTCGAGTATGTACATTATATTATAATGAGACTTCGGTGAATTCTGATATTAATTAATTCACTGTATGTATACGTATGATTATCATTCGATACATTGCAATAAAATAAGCTTATCCTCACATAGCGTTAAGGACTACGTTATATGATAAATATTATTTGTTGAATTTTATTGTTCATTACACATTTCTCGAAGTTTACAGTCAAAATAAGTATCGCTCTAATTATCGTCGTACATGCTTGAAATTTTTTTCTATTCAATCTAGACAATTTCACAGGTATTAGAAGCCAACGAGATCCTCCGTAGTTATTTTTCTCCATAATAAGTGCATCGCCTATATTCCTAATCACTTACGCGAGAAGCCATTGCGAAAACGAATCCGCGAGGGAGTTCATAAGATGACGATGGGTACTAGATGTACAATCGAGGATAATAGGCAGCGAGTGCAGCTAAGTGCACAAGATCCGTGTAAGTTAGCGGGCGCACGGTGGCACGTACGCACAATGTAAGTGCAGCAATGCAATGCAGGTAGAGAGCAGCAATGTACGTAGTACCAGAGGGCGAAATGAAACAAACGAACATACAAATGTATGAACATACGTGCGTACTGAGAAACGATCCAAGGAACTAATAAACGAACCAGCCCAGCAGTCGACCAACGAACCAACCACCCAACCAACCAACAACCAGCCGACCAAGCAACCAACCAGCCAACCAGCGAACGATGCAGCAATCTAGCCGCGTTGATTAGAGTCGTATGTAGAATCGAGAACCGGATTCCAAGAACCTGTTTCCATGTTCACGTAAGATCCCCAGAGTAATCGACTGACGGATCGGCGACCGTTCGAGTCACCGACCCCAACCGACCAGCAAGGCGGCGCTCGCTCGATTCCTGCACACCACCAGCCCTCGAATCTCCTGGACTCTCTCCTCTCTCTCTCTCTCTCTCTCTCTCTCTTTTCTCTTTTCTCTTAGCTTCCTTCATCATTTCTCTCTCTGCTCTCCTCTCCTCGTCGATATACACACGCGCTCACGCACGGACTCCTTCCCTCATCGGATGGGTCCAACCCTTAAATGAATATCATTACTATGAGCCGCTACCAACTAATAGATTTTCATTATTTTAAACCACCTCTGTAATTACTCCGAGCTGACTTCGAGGAGCTTATAGGTGTACTGTCTTCGTGTCTCTTCGGAAAGTACAGGCGTCCTCCTCCTCGGCCGAGCTGGTTCTGCTTCTCAAAGAGGACATTCGCTTATGGTATGCTCGGCCTCCTATTAATAGGCCTTCCCCGGGGAATGTTTGTGCCGTTGCAAGAGTAAGCGTGCCACTCAGGCGCGGGAGCGCGTCTACGCCAAAAAGATCGCCGCTCAAGAATTGTCATATTGGCATCGTTGTTCTTGTTATCGTTGCCCTTAAGGGTCAGTTGATTTATATTGGTTTTATATGGTAGCTCGTATAACGGTACGAAAAATACTTGTAACGTGTGCCTGCGGAAGACAACTGCTGATCGTAACTGCTCGATGGACTTCGTGAAGAAATTACCTGTTACAGATACGAGCTGCGCTTTAGGCGCCCTATTAGTCGATGTGCTGCGAAAATATTTTACCTCCAAGGTACGGAAAAGCAAAGCTCGTGTAGAGTTAAGGACGCTATATATTTGTACAAGTTTTTTTAGAAACTAATTTACAAATTTAATGAACGAAATTGGGACTTCTTTACGTGAAGTTAGTTACTTCTTTGAATAATACATATACGTGGGTCATTGCTAAACGTGGTACTCAACATTGTTTGGGATAATCAGTAACCTTTGATGATGAAAATTAAGTCAGGAAATATTTCAATATGCGATGTTATATTAGCATATGAATATAGAGAATTATTCAGTACTCGATCAGAATAACTGATGTTGGATTTACTATAGGAAGAAATTGAACACTATTAATCATGGTAAGGCAATGTTTAAATCTTCAAATTAATTTTTGAATCCAGAACTTTTATATTTTCAATTAATCAAGTAAAGTTTGAAGAAAGTCAGTCCTATTTTGTAATTCCACTTAACCCTTGCTATATTACTCATGTATGTTACTTGATGACACTGCCAATTAAAGTAAAAGTGTGCCTCCAGTTTTCGGTTTGCTGTGCCATTATTTAATTCAATTTATCACTTACAATCAACGCGGACGATAACGAACACGATTGTTCCAGAGATTAAACAATATCACTTAATCATGAATGATAAAAATTTTCAAAATACTTTTCGTTTCAACCAGCCTCGCAATAAACGATCAATCATGTATCGTATATTAAAGTTGACCTGTTATTAATATACGTATCACGTAACAGTTTCATTTAAATATTAGTTAACCAGTCGATTAGAAAAGAGGTAGTCAAAATTTGCATTCGATCCGCTGGCACGTTCAACTATTTCTCAAAGTAGCAACAGCAACTGTCGCGATTACGTGACATGGAAACGTACAAAAATCTTGAGCCAGTTGGTGTCCCATCGAGTCACAATCGCATTTCTATTTTACCGGTAAGGCAAGTTTCCTCGCAAGACGTAAACGTGGGCTGCTGCGTGAACGGTTTATATCGTACGATCAAACATATCGCGCATGTTAAATAGGTATTTGAGTCTCTCGAAAAATAACCTGATGACTTTACGCGCACTGTCACAATTACTTTTAACTTCCAATCGCTACAATCCACTTGTACTATGGTCTTCGCTAAAAGTAGCACAAAATACGAACAAAGTGGTGGGTATGACGTAATAAAAGCGCCTTAATGGACATATTCGAAAGTGTCTTACACATTAATCGATTAAACGCTCTAAAGATACAAGTACGACAAGCTGCATTACCAATTTTGATAAAGAGTATGTCAAATTGCAAATAAAAAATTTCACATCATTTAAACGATACATAAAATATTGCTACCGGATGCAATAGATAACATTTAATATGCAGATGATTGATTATGGCATTTATGTGGAAACTTACTTGGATATCTGATAGGTAATTGCCACCTCATTATGTTATATCGTAAAAAGCAAAAAGTTCGATAATTATAATATCCATGAAGAAAAGTAGTTTTTTTGACTTACGCAGACTGTGTTATCACTTAAGTTTTACTGTTGCCATAGTAATAATAGTCACCCCGCTAAATAAAGTGGTATACAAACTCGTTATATCCTATTATAATGTGAAATGACTATTCAACAAATGATCTCAGTCAGTGTTGAAATTCAATGTTTTCTCTTTATGTTCTCGAATAGAGGATGTTGACGTCGAAGCTCGAAGTTTCGGCGGCTGCAGCGGCGTCAATTAAACGCAAACAGAATCGCCTTGGATCGATGTGGCTATTCAATTTATTGTCAGTGACCATCTATTAGCATTCACTCACGAATGCGTAATTACGAGAGACGCATAGTTAGAAATAAAATTTCTAAAATGATTAATGTTCCAAAGTGACTCCTATAAAAAGTGCGTTCCTTTCTACGTAGCACGATGAACAACGGTCCGAGTATATTTACAATAGGCTTAAAAGAAAACCCTTTAGGCGACAGTATAGTTCTCGGTCCAAATGCGTATTTAACAATGAAAGATATAATACATTGTTCTCCAACATAATCGTCATTCCTTTCATCCTGTTTCTATGACACATGCCTATAATTTCACAATTTAAATTTCAATCTCGGAATGGACAGTGGATCGTGCAATGAGGAAATTGAGCCAAGTAAATTGAGTGAGTCGAGCGAAAGATTAAAAAGTCAAATTGCAAGCAGGCTCCAAAGATCCAAGTCGAAACGATCCGTATAGAAGCTACGGATAGGACTGGCTGGACAGAGGAGGATTGCATGCGAGAGGTGCATGCATCTCCGAGATCCACTCGTGGTTTATCGAGGTTCCACGTAGAGCATTGTGGTTGCTGCATAATATTAACATTAGTGGTGATTAGTGGTCTGCCGGCCTCCGATCCTGACCAATAGCTATGAACGCTACTCTCTGCTACACGCGACCTCACTTCTTTCCATTAATGAGATTCCGAAGCTGCGATTGAGCTAGATTTTATTTGAGCTTCCTTTTGCCAACGTAAATCTCGACTAAGATAATAATTTATGGGCGGACGCGGACAATGACTAGGAAATAAAAGTTATCCATGTCCAAGTGGAACGTATGAAAAAAAAAAAAAAAAAAAAAATGTATGACAAATCCGACGACCATTAATATACTTGGGTAATTACGAGTTGGAGTATTTTACTAATAATACCTTGTTACAACAATGGTACCCATTTGTTACGAATCAAATGTATGCAGGAGAATGACCAACTCTCCATTCCGTTCTGCGTCCAAAACCGGTAACGATCCCGAGGTGCCTGTAGACTAAAAGGCTCATTGAAAAATTCTTCGAAAAAGTATTTCACCTCCTCCCCGTAGTCCAGGTCCTACCTCTTCGCGGTGCACAAGGAAACGACATAGCTCACGGAACATTCTCGAAAAACGGTCGAGCAGCCGTGTTCCTTGCTAGTGGAATGTATGCTCCTCGTGACGCGTGCAATTTTCAATGATGCGCGAGAACCCAAGAATATTGTGTTCAGTGGATTCTCTTTAGCGATGTCCGCTGGTGGATCCGAGGTGGTCACACGTAGAATCAAGCGCGGCTTTCACACTGGCCGCGCCGTGCTGGTAACTTGTTAGTCAGGTACATATACATCTCAGGGGAACAACACGACACCGACTTGTTTATGCGCTCGAGTGCCTACTTGCCCCTGTGGCGGCCGACTAAATCACACCCTGCGGATTTTATATTAAAACAAATAATTAATTCAGATGCCCAGCGCTCCGGGTGGTCCCCGTGGACCACTATGAACGCCACGTAACGATACCTTGCCTGAATACGCCTATACGTGTACGCACGCTATCGTGCAGCCACCATGGCTGATCTTCGAGTTGAACTGCTAACGCCACTTAATACTAATCATCCATCGTTTATTACTAACAGCACAAAAACTTAACGTCGTTTCGCTCATTCTTTCATTTTGTTTTTATTAAATATTACCAAAACACGTCATCTAGCTTTTGGAAAGATGAATATTGTTTTTTATAAAGAATTCGCTGGTTTAGGAGGTCCCCGCCTGTGGCTGGTCTACAGTCTAAAAGACTAAAAAATTTTTAAGATTGCCTCTGTTCAAATCTAGCTTTTAAAGACACTTTGTGTTAAGAATAGCTAGAATAATGCTCAATACTTGAACTGTGATTGAATGAATTTTGCTCCAGGCGGTTGAGTTATAAGCAAGGTGTGAATACGTGCTACCTATTCTGTACTGCTTGGGTGAGGTGAAACAAAGTGTTTAAGAGTGTGTAGCGATTTTACTTTTTTTTTTTTTAATTAATGATGCATCGTGTTATTAGTCATTTTATAATTGCTATGTTTGTCAAGCTTAATACATTCTTACTCAGCGAATTTTTGTGGAGTTTTTATTTAATAGCTTGCAAAGCAAGGTTTTCTGAACGTGACATCTATCTTACATAATAAGTATTCCAATGGCGATATTCACTGTGTGTATAGTAAATTCATTAAAATGTATTACAATAATATCGACAAGTGGTCTCTGCAGAAGTGTTGGTAGTTAATCAAGCAAATTATACAAACGTGGTAAGAAATTAAAGGAAGTCATAAATATAGTTTTTTCAACATGTTTCCATAACCTGCATAATTCAACATGCTTTTCATTAAAAAATAACTTTTCATGTTTTTTGCGCTTATTTTTGTATTGGCGCTTATTTGTGTTACTTCATGACATAGGATTAACAATCAGGCATTATTATGAATACTGAGATGCTGTATATTGGTTCAAACAGTACATACTTAAATTGATGAAAAAAAAAGTTAATTCTCAGGAAGTGTATTAAAGTGAATTTTGCCTCATCATTTGTTAAGGTACGAAAAGTGTAAGACAGGGCTGAAGTTCCTACGAAGAAAGTGATAATGAACGGAACAAGGAACCTTCAAACAACTTTGCTCATTTATAACGAGAGGTTATTTGTTTAAGGAATGATCGACGATTCGCAAGTCACGGTTTTCAGTTCACAATACACATATATGTATTTATGTGAGTGTTTGTGTATTTTCAAAAGTTTTCATTTCAAATAATATATAGCTTCCGGTACTTATCACTCAAAAGTTCAGGAATTTTTAATCTAAACTACCTCGTACTGTCGTTTTATTGTTATTGCGATACTCAATCCAAAAAAGTTTTCAAAGTTAACACCAACCCGATTCCTTTTTTTGAACTTAGCATATATTATTGTATCTGTAATATTGTGAATATGTGTCTATTAAAGACAGATAAGGTTTTTCATGTTTTTCAAAACGTGTAATTAAAGTACGCGATCAGCTTATAAACTGGCACAAATGTGAAAGTCATACAAATCACATAGACTCGTTTGTAATAAGCAGTTTAATTGTTATTGAAAAAATATTAAGGAAATATCAGATACTTATCATCTTCCAATATCCTTATAAACATTATTGTACCGTTCATTATAATTACAAATGTACGAGTTAAAAATCATTTATCTAACTCAAATAAATTAATAAGAAATATATGATTCTATTGATTAACAAATTTTTGAAAAAATTTGTTATTCACTAGGCAAATTCGTCTAGCGATTAATATCACTTGTACAATTTATGTGTATCTTGTCACAGAACGGTGTTCTCACACAGGTGGCACGTGTTCTTGGATTTGCATAAAAACTGATAATTTCCATACGTGAAAATGATAAATTAATTTCACGGCGACTTATGCCAAAGAAATAAACTAAATACGGTAGCACTTTCGGAAGCAGAAATTAATGAAAACGTACTTCTCTCGTCTCGCTAACATAAGATGCTCTGTCCGATACTTAAGTATCTTCCCAACAACGCATCTCCTATTAGTGCAAATCATCGTTCGCTGATATTAATCGTTTGGTCGATAGCTGCAACGAATTGCCCGACTGCAAGATAATCCTGAGTCCGTAGTAACAAGGGGCCGAAGATGATTTGCAAAATTAACCCTCGTTTTCAACAGGGGTAATCGGAACAGGGGTGTTGTGAGAAACGAGTCAAAGGCCAATCCCATGTATTATACCTGCTACGTACCAGCTGATTCTAAATCAGGGCTGGACGAGCAGATAAATCGCAATTGCTGTGATATCCTGTGATATCGGTTTCCGACAAATATGGCGACAAAATACGGACTTGGAAAGGAGAACGAGAGTTAGCAGAAGAACAGTTGATAGAGTTTATACATGTCAGAGCAAACGGGTTTGCCTTGAGGAACGATCGCTTAACCCATACGGTTGCATCATATGCATTTGTTGTATGTTTTAAAAAAATATTAACTTCGCGGATGCGAAACCTTCGAATTGATAGTATTTGGCATTTATAAATGGCTCTTATGAATTTCAACCCGATTAGTTTATTCAGATATTTGGATACACACGTACGACGGTAAGTTTCTAAATCTTCGTGCACGTACCGATTGAAACTGTGAAGTGCTAGACGTCAGCAAATTTACCCATGACATCCAGAACTTAATTTCTCGTTAAAATTAGAAGTCGATCAATTTAACGATTCGTCAAAAACTTTTGATCCAGACTTTGACCATAAAATCGAAAGATTTTTGCGCATGCGTAGTTTTCAAACCGAGATTACTGAACAAGTGCAAATCCAAATTCCATGCACATCCGTAAATTGAAATCGCGTGTCAATTTTACCAGGATCGATATACTCATTTGTTTAAAAATTTTTTTTTTAACTTTTACGTGCACTTACACATACGAACCCCTATTTTTTATGACGTATGCATAAGGCCCCCCCATATCCTGCGAAAAAGCAAGTAGCCTACACAAAAGTAGTAACTCCAATGACGATTGAACATAGAAAAATAATAAAGCACTTCCTGCTCGTAGCTGCACGATTGTTCAGCCTTGACAATAGCTTGCACTCCGTATAACAATGGTTATGGAGAATGCGCAGTTCATTTTTTTTCGAAAAGATTAGTACTGTGGTCATAAAAAAGATTGACCCGAGGTCAAGTGGAAGTGGGGAACAAGGATTGTCTAGCTAGTGATCTCGGTGGCCACCGTCATCCGAACGATAAACGACGGCTTCAAGCCGGACAATGATGTTCAATGTGGCGTGACGCCGATGATGCGTTGCGGGTGCGCCCGCCCATTGCTCCCTCCTGCTGAGCAACTCAAACGGGACGCACGTCATTACCCGCCGTTGTTGACACTGCCTTATAAATGCCATCGTTCGAGCTCAGAGACGTGTGACGGACATCGAGCATTGTAATACGTCGCGCTGCGATATTCTGATGCAGCGATTAAAGCAGTAGTGTTACACTGATAAATAAATGATAGTATAAAGCGGTGGTCCTTGAGAACTGAGCGATTTCTTACTTCGATTCCAATGACACGTGGATCGCAGGACCAAATCTGATAATGGTATCTTTCATGGTGAAAATTAACGTTAATCCTACGTCTCACGTAAAAACAAGACGTTCCCGGTGTGACCCAGCGATCGCCCAACTACGCCAGAGATAAAAGGTCAAGTATCGATTTCAGGAAGAGACCGGAGTATAGAGAACACGTGGCAGATTGTAACGAGTGAAACGTCATTAAGAGGTAAAAGCGTGCAGGAGTATGGAGATATACTTGGGAAATGATATAAAGACACACAGGAGCATCTTTCATAGTTGAAAAGACGAGCTGGAACTTTCTGGGTAACCCGTTAAAATGGAGCAACGAGTTGTCTATAGGATACCTGAGATCTCGGGCTGAATGAAAAAAGGGAGCTTTCACACTGAAGCGAATTGGCCGGCCGTTAGAGGGTTAGAAGAATCGAGAGTGGCACGCGGAATAGAATACTGGCTGGAACGATTTGAGCGGTCGTTAAAAATTGATATACTATTCGGAAGCGTGTGCGGGGGCTGGTAGCCGTCGAGTTACGTATGTAGTCAATGGTAAACGGAAGCCCATATCAATACATATCGGTTGTGTTTGGATTCGCGGGTTGGGGTAGCTGGTTGACGATGGTTTGAGGCACAGTTGGGGTGAAATAATGGAGGCGGACGCCCCAGTCGTAACATCAATGTTGCTCCGAGCTTACAAACACACCGACACCAATCGACCATGGGCTTCCCTATACACAAAACCGATCCAGCTTCGTTGGTTGGGTGGGCAGGCTTTTGGAAAGAGGTCGGCGGGTTTGGGTGTTGGTGAGGAGGAGGAGGAGGAGGAGGAGGAGAAGGAAAAGAGGAGTCCAAAGGGGTTGAAGGGCCAAGGGGAGGAGGAAGACAGCCAAGAGGGCGCGAGTGAGGGGCGGTCGGGTACCAGATGGGGAGGGGTGCGGTGGGGTGCAGTGAGGTGGGGTACCTACTAGAGCACTATATGCCACTGATGCGGCTCGTGTTTAACGCCCTTATAAATGTGTAATGCCTGTACGGAGGAGATCGTATTGCTCGCCGGGGTGGTCTGCGTATCGATAAACGATCAATCAAGCGGTGCACCTATGGTCGGTGCTACGAGGCTGATAAAGGGATGCCAGGGAACGGAACCGGTGGAAATAACGGAACGGACGGAATGATTCTGGCTGAAGATGGGTACGTGGTTCGAAGGATAGAAGGGAGCAAGGGGTCCTTAGGAGGGACAAGGCGAGACAGAGAAGGAGAGAGAGAGTAAGAGAAAGCACGAGGGAGTAGGATGGAAGGAGAGAGTGAGGCGAAGGGGTGCAGAGACGCCGAGGAGGAGAGTGAGCCCGTGAGAGAGGGAATTGTGGGGTTACGGGTCGACGGGGGAGGCTGGTGGCCCGCAGAGTATCGACCCGCCGAGGAGGAGAAGGTAGCCAGGGTCGCCGTCGCCGGGTTTTGTTACTATAGGTATGCTGTATATCTGTTTATTAGAAATCTTCAGGAAGACGGCCGAATAACGTGCCACCCGTACAGACGGCAGGCGTCGTACAACTTAAGACCCAAAGCTTTTCTAAAGGGAGGTACCATTATTTTTTGAAACTGTGTGGAGAATTAAAAAATCGGAGCTACCGAATTTACACCATTATTTACGTCCCCTCGTGTAGCTATATACAACCTTACTTCAATAGGATACCCTCTTTTCTTTCTGAAGTCCCACGGCATGCAAACGAGCATTCCCCGATCGCTAGGTCTTTCATCTTATTCGAGTACTGTCAAGTATCATCGGTCATTTCTGTGTCATGACAATGGGGGCGTAGAAAAAAGACAAGAGAACGATAAATAAAAAGATTTTAAAAAAGGAGAAAGAAGAACACAACCAAAATTCAAATAAAGAATGTAAATTCGTGAAATCCAGCGCCAAGGCCATTCTACTCGGTGACAGCAACGAGGCGGGAGGCTCGGAGCGTTCGATTGGCTCAAAGTGTCGCGCCGAGCTAAAGCGTCGCGGCGGCAGGTTCCAGCCGGGATCGGGTGCGCACACGGAAGGAACAATAGGCGCGATGCGAGCGGCGGATCTGCCCATGGCGAGGTCAGGTGGGTCGCCGGTCGCGAGCGCCAAAGGCACTCCCGTTGGCTGGCTCCGCGGGGTGTGGCCAGCACATAACCATAGCCAGCAAGCCGGCACAAACGGCCCTCTCGGTGCCCTCTCTTCTACTGGAACCCTCCTGATAACAATAGGCGGCACGCGGCGCCCAGTGGGGTGGGGGCTGGGGCGGCTTGGGCCTCCGAGTGCGTGCGCTCGCGCGCGTGTTCCAACTTCCTACCAAGCAGGCGCATCGCCGACCTATTACAATGCCCAACCCTACTAAGCGTTCCATTGTCATCTGCGCTCTGCCCATGCGTCGATGCGCACAAACCATTGTTTTGTCGAATGGGCGTGCGTCTACTACTTTTCACCGCCATCGGAATTCCCGACGGCGCTAACTGCCATTTATAATTTAAAAATTCCTTCGCAGCTAAGAATCTTTTACTTTGAGAGCTTTAAAGGGAGATACCTTTAAAGGGAGAACCTAATGGAATTAATTTTTGCTAATTAGCTATATATCTATGGTACAATTAATATTATCTGCTGTGGAAAAATTATTGATTAGCTGCGCTTTTTCTTGTACTTCCAGTAGAGTACAAATTTTCCCGACAGATTGCTGCTTATTGGCGTACAAGTAAAAATTGTAAAGAAATATTACTTATGATTAATATTTTAAATCCCGATGCATTATGTTGAAATAAATTGTTTGTCGACAATTTCATGCAATCATAATTTTAATTCAGTTGCTGGTTCCTTTATTTTATTTTTTTTTTATTTTCAGAACTCACTTTCATCCCCGAACATGGAATATCGGAAGCGATGTATCTTCAACGTGAAACACCTTAACGATCTTCGCGTTAAATACAACTAGCTTTTTAAATTCATTTTACTGGTCCATCCTTTGTCGGAGCAAACGACCATTAAAAAAGGTCACTGTTTTATTCTTCGTACTTGCATCGGCTAATCGTTTTATTGCCACACTGTAAAAGTATGACGCTGTAGTTTATTGTGCATTAAGAATAGTCGTCTTTTCATGTCGTTCCACAGCGATCTTCTTGATACGTTCCCACAGCATCGGATAAGGATGAATCGTCCTGGCAAAATCAGCCCTTTCAAGCCTATAAAGCTCGCAGACCTCAACAGCCACAACGCTAGCAACTCTGCGTTCGTCCGGCATAACTAGCGCGATTTCCCCAAAATGAGCGCCGTCTTCCAAGTGGCAGACCTCCTTCCCGGAATTCGTATAAATTGCAACAGTCCCCGTGGCAATGAAATACATGCAGTCGCCAGGCTGGTTAGAACGAACGATGACATCGTTCGCCAGGAAGACTTCAGAGCGCAGCAGGGCCACTATGCGGACCAGTACCGACATAGGTAAGTTGTTGAAGAACGTCACGTTCTCTACCAGCTTCCGACACGAGTGCATCCCTATTTCCTGTCGCATCTGCGCAGACAGGCTGTTCAGGATCTCGTTTTCGCGAAAGAATTGATGATAAAATCGAAATTCATAATAGGTTACGAAGCGTTTCTGAGTCTGAGCAGAAAGCTGCTTGTGTCTCATGTATTGCCTAAGTTGAGCCATGGTTGCTTGATACTTGAGCTTCGAGCTGTTGTTACCTTTGAATAGTTGCATGCCATATGCTATCACGAGACAGAAGGTCAAAGAGCCTAGAACTTGCAGCACTATCACCAGCCATTGATCCTCGACTGTCTGCGGCGCCATCTCAACATCTCCAGAACAAGTGAAAACAGCCACTGAGCGAAGCAAACTTGAGATGTATTGTGACTGACTGTCACTATCCCAAAGTTTACTGCTGGTTATCCAGGATTCTGCTGATGGTTGCGTAGGCAGCTTCATTGAGGTTACCATGACAGGTATGATCCAGTAAATACATGCTTGCCAATGAAATCCCATCATTACACAGAATATCATACTGGAAAGCTTGTAGAAGACACGTGGTATCTCGTATGTGCGTGATAATTTACTTATGTACGAGTACATGGAAAATATTCGAAATATATATACTAAGGATGAACATTCACGTGCTACGATCCAATCGTTCCACATGCCTATGAAAATTAGGTCCGTTGGTATTGATCCCAAAAGATCTGGGAAGAAGGTACCGCGAATTAAATAACGTAATATTATTTCCTTCTCTCTGAGATGAACGATTCGGTCAGTTTTGTCATAGAATCTGTAAACATTATTTTTCCCCGTAGCGCATTGTGACGTTTCATATCAAGAAGGGATAAAATATATGTATATGCATATCTATAGATGTCGTAACACTCAGGGATGCAAATATTTCGCTTCTGCAAAGTGTCATTGCTATCAGTAGTTGATAGTGATTTCAAGTATACTTACCCGGTCATTAAATTCACGATGATATCTGCCCAGCACATTAGAAGTACACAATTTTTCACACAAGTCCATGTTAACGTTCTGTCGATCATTACGAATGCTGCTTTATACGGAATAGCCAGTAGCCCTCCGGTTATTGCAAATATCATTATAAAGTCCCACCACTGTCTGAAAAACATCTCGTTAATTATCAAATACTGAATAAATAAAATATATTTTTAGTACGTATTACCTTTCTGTTTTTTTTTTTTTTTTTTTTTTT